CGAAAGCAACAAAATATCCTAGATTTAGCGTAAATTATTAATAATATAGGTCTCTAACAGTAAATTTTCAAGCAAAGTACTAATTTAGCTTCTTACTAGCACTATTAACGAGGTTTTACGAGGCTTTTTGACTGACTTTGCTAAAATCTCGCATTTTTGCGAAAGGGACAAAATATCCTAGATTTAGCGTAAATATAGGGCTCTAAGAGGAAATTTTCATAGCAAAGCGCTAATTTAGGCTAATTTAGTTTCTTACTAGTACTATTAACGAGCTTTCGACGAGGCTTTTTGACTGAGAATGAAAAATTAGAAAATTTTCATACTCAGTCAGAAAGCCTCGTCGAAAGCTCATTAATAGTGCTAGTAAGAAACTAAATTAGCCTAAATTAGCGCTTTGCTATGAAAATTTCCTCTTAGAGCTCTATATTATTAATAATTTACACTAAATATTGGATATTTTGTCCCTTTCGCAAAAATGAACAATTTTAGCAAAGTATATTTATCATATATTTGTTATATTTAAAATATTTTTATCATATTTTTACCATATAATAATTATATAGCTATCATATGATAATCATAAATGGCAAAAATTCAAGTTTCTGCTAAGAAACTTTCACCGAATTCTATCAAGTAGTTGTCGAGAAAGTTTTGTTCAAAGTTTGATAAAAATTCACTGCCTTCTAAGAAAATAGCTACGGCAAAAATTTTTTAAACTTTGAACGAAAATTTCTCGATAAAATTCAAATTAATAAAATTTCATCAAATTCTGTTGAGTAGTTGTTGAGAAAGTTTCATTCAAAGTTTGAAAAAATTTCCACCACTTTCTAAGAAAATAGCCATGGCAGAATTTTTCTAAACTTTGAATAAAAATTTTTCAACAATTATTTGATAGAATTCCATAGAAATTTTTTAAATAATTCTATAAATTACCAGAATACGTTTAAAAATTTTTTATCGCAATTGTCAAGAAATTTTGTTATAGATATTTTCTTAAAAGAGGCAGTGAAATTTTTTGAACAAAAATTTCTCAACAACTGCTTGACAGAAGAAGTTCGGGTTGATTGGTTGTTAAGATACCCCGAAAAAAATATCTGGCTAATCCCGAACAAAAATTTTATAACTCGCGAACTTTAGTCAATACACTCTAAAGTAGTGTTCTAACCTGTCTCAAAAATCCCAACCCGGGTCACCCGCGGGCAGTGTTCATTTTTCACGTGCGCAAAAGTGTGCGCACGTGTGCAGATCCAATCAAAATTTTAAATAAAGCAATTTGATTGGATCCGCACACGTGCGCAACTTTTGCGCACGTGAAAAATAAACATTTGCTGGCTAACCATACTATAGCATTGTACTATCGCTATAGCAAAACTAGTAGCTGAGCAATTTTACTTAATTATAGGCTGCCAGTTTATTGGTAAAAATTTGGAAAATTTTATCAATTCCGGCCTATCCTGACCCTAAATTCGGTGAATTTTGGTTGCGCTACTAATCTATTCTTCTTAACGGATTTACTTAACGTTAATGTGTGATACAACAAAGTCATATATCATCACTAGGGTTGTTAAACGTTCGGTCAAACTGATTCAACTCCAGAGAAGTCGAGTAAGTAAAAAATCATATGATGAGAGAAGTATAATTGGTTTAATACAATTCAATGCTTAAGTATGCAATAAAATTTCACATTTTAGTATAAATTGAAGACTGCTTTCATGTAGTTATTGTAGTTATTGAAGTAGACATGGGTCGACTTAAAAAAAGCTCGACTCAACCCTATTTAAAAACTGACTAAACCGAGCTGTTTAACATCCCTAATCATCACTATGTTTTATGTCATCTAATGTGATTTACACGGAACCATAGCGATGTTAATTTTCAATCCTATCATAATACCTTAAGAATTTAACTTTGGCTTTTAAGCATCATATACAAGAACTACAGTACAATAACTACGCCAATCTAAATAATTTCGTTATCTGATTAAATTAAAATTTTGAGATTAGATTTAACCTAAAATCAGTAGCAAAATTTTTTAGATTGATAACGAACTTGCAGTAAAGGTATATGTCGGAATGTGACTTGAATTTTTTCTTGAAATTCCTACTGTTATGAGTAATTAATGGATGAATTGATCCAGAATTCAGTGATAGCAATAAATATAATAAATATTCACTGGGTCAACTACGAAACTATTTCCAATAGTAATATCTCTACCAGCCTTCCCAACTACCTTGTACTTTTCCTGATTCTGCCACTTTCCTATTTAACAACCGATCTGTTTCGAAAAGTTAGGAAATCACCAGCTGATCGTTCGCTTTACTGTTACGATCACAGGTTGAATCAATGAATATCGGTGCATACCGGGAGATAAGTTTCCCGATATTTACCCATAGATCCACTAATACCTGCTGAATGTCAGCGGCATATCGGGAGGTAGATCGATATCAGCAACATAATATTGGGATATCCCGATATCTTACTCTTAGGCCCAGAGTGCTAAGAGTAAGATATCAGGGTATCCCAATATTGTACGTTATGTTACCGATATTGATCTACCTCCTGATATCTTACAAATATGCTGCCAATAGGGGTTTGAAAATCCCTATCCGTGACCCGTCGGGTCAATTATCTTTTCCAACCGGGTACCCGAAACTAAACCCGGTTACCCGATTAAAACGGGTCATCCGGTTGTAATCGGGTGATCCGGCTATCCGAATAAAACGGGTCACCCGGTTATAATCGGGTGACCCGGATAACTGATTTAATTTTAAAGAAATTTCGTATAAAGAAGTTTACAAACTAATAAATACACGCGAAAGAATTTATTATTTATATATAGAGAATAGATATATACGCGTAAAGTGGGTAAATATGATATTTATTACTAATAAACCCGAACTCTATCATGTAAGTTATAAATTAAACTTTTAATTATTAATCTACGGTTGACAAACTCAAACGCACTACAAGAACGACCAAATTTAAATATTAAGCCGGATTCTCTCTGCTAAAGAACTTGTACCTATTCAAATTAAAAAGTTAGAAATAAAAGTTTATTCAAATCTAGCGTAATAAAATAGTTTTAGATGAAAAGTTACCTTCACTTTACAGCATAATTTGATATGGCCCAATAAACGGTAGGCATATTTTGCCTTCTAAGCAAAGTTCATGGGATACTGATTATTGCTGATTATTTTGCATGGTGAATCTAGACGTTCTATCGAGCAAAAAATGGCTTTAGCAGTGATTTTTTGTTAGTGAAACGTTGTATAAATAAGCTACCTGGGCAATTGATTTACATCAGCCAATTAGACGAATGTCCTCCTATGACATATTAACAGGTGACCCGTTTATGATATTTAAACCGGGTTGTCAAAAATATGACCCAGATAGTAATTTTTTCGGGTCGGGTTATCAGTTTTACGGTTATCCGGGTCAGAGCTTGAAACCCTAGCTGCCAATATGCTGCTGATATTCAGCAAGTTTTTGGCGAATCTATGGCAGACTAACGAGTACATATCATGAAACTTGTCTCCCGGGTAATGATGTGACTCATTCAAATCTGGATTATCCGGATTACACAAGGTCAAATCCTTATTCATACGGATTGATCTGCAATCCGCATATTTGTCAGATTTTGAATGGATCGAATGGATGATCTGCAATCTGCAGTTAATATAATAGTGATTTTTTACAGTTTTTTTTAAAACTGCTATTATTAAAGAATGAACTTAAATTTATTGTATATTATATAGCGTTGTTTAAAATTTTGGAGCTAGTTATTTTTTTTATATTAAAACCAATTAGAACCAGTTTCAAGCTCTAGATTAAATGGATGATCTACAATTCGCAGTTTGAACAGATTGAACAAATGATCAACAATATTGCATAAGGATTGAACGGATAATGGATTTTGAATGGATAATCTGGATTGCAGATCATAGATCACACCTCTACTCCCAGGTATGCACCTGATATTTATTGATTCAACCTGTGGATGATACTTGTGCAATCCCACTTATTAATTGTCTGGGTATATATTATTATTTTAGTTCAAATTACTTAAAAAATACCAATAATTTATGCCCAATTCTATTTTGATCCAGGTAGGGTTCAAGGCACAGAGGCACGGGCATGCCTATGGGCATGCCGAAAGGCTAATAGGCATGCCCTAATCATGTGATATGCAATCAAATCATTGGCTAAAAATCATTAATA